TAAATCGCTCCCTAATTGCCGCCCTCTGCCCCTGGCCTTGCCCGGTTGGAATCCCCAAGAAAAGACGAGGGAAGGCCAAAAACACCAAGGATGCCGCCTCGTCTGCTGCCTTTGACTTGAGCCGCTTCAGGATACAAGCTAGTGCATCAAGCACCCCCAGTCTTGCGCGCTGTGGGATGCGACGCATGATTCTCCCTGGCACCAATTCGATCCCGAAAAACGACTCCCAGTCCCATGTGGGAACTGCGGCCCACACCTCTTCACTGATATCCCGTGGTGGCGGAGGTTCGCTGTCCCCTGATGATATTTTACGATGGCAAGCTGGACAGGAACCTACAGCACTGCCGTATGCCGGACAGATAATTTACACGTACGATATCATCAATTTCGCGGTATCGAGGACGAAACACGTGAAAGAGATGAAGTCATGGAAAGGGCCACGGTGAGCAACATGAGAACGACGTTGAGGAACAACGTGACGCGATTCGGGATGCTCGATTAGCAAACAAGGTAAGGTGCAGGGATGTGCTGTTCGGACATGGCTTGGGGACTTGACAAGAGAGCGTGTCATATTATTCGGGTTCGAGACAGCTTTCTAGGGATTGCTACGTCGAAATATCAAATGGTGCGGTGCGCGAAATGGGGCGTGAGCTGAGATGCGTTTCGTCAAAATGCGGAGCAAGATTTGCGCTTTTGGCGACCGTCGCAATAGAAATTTCATGTTTCGACAAGATCTGTTACTGACTTTGGTTTCATAGATCTGCCTGACCGCCTTCTAGGCCCGAGATTAGCCATCCGCCCTCTAGAGCCAGGACCAGGGGAAGCTGTGGGTTGGGCGAAGGATCGCTGTGTCATCGGGGACTGAGAAGATAAGTCAGGGATAACCTAACGGTTATGCAGTTTTTCCATGTACAAATCCAACTACACAACAGAAAAAGGAGTACGGGTTTGAAGCCAGCAACATAAACGATGCACGAAAGGAGAAAAACTGGCATACTGTAATCCAGGGCGGGTGGATGGAGTCCTCGAGTAGTCATGGGTGTCTAAGGTCTGGGTGAATATAGGAGACTCTGGTCAATTGAGATAGGTTCACAGATTGTCAATGGTTTTTCGGAGACTGGCTCGAGCATCTTCACAAAATAATATACCGTAAGACCAGGAATGAACTGCAATGCTTCAAATCGGATTGGGGAAAGCAGGGATTCTTGAACCCTGGTTTCGAGATGGTTGTGCTGAGTAAAATGCACCAACTATTCAACCACACCTACACCAACACGCATGTACACTCTGATGGGACCAGAGAGATCTCTATCAGCCTAGGCAACATACTCCAGAATCTCCACATACTTCACAAAGCTCACGCGCTTGGGGCTTCTGCTGAGCAAGCCTGCTTCTGAGATGCACCCAAGGGTGCTGGAGGGTGCAGTGAGGCACGGCTTGACCCTGCTGGTGGGTGCTCTGCTGCTGATGGTGGTGGGTGCACTGCTGCTGATGGGTGGAGTGCAAGTGCGGCTGGGCATGGTGCAAGGCAGCGGGGAACAAGGAGAGGAAGGAGCACTGCAGCTGGCGAAGACCCGAGGCGACAGCGTGGCATCCTCGTCTGCACCATCTGCACGCTGCTTCCCTGTTCTCATGCTTTCATCTTCAGGGAAATAAAACAGGTTCCCGCGTTGTAAGCTTCTGGGACTTGAGCTGACAGGTCGTGAGGCGAAACTTTTCGCTGATGCCCGAGTTTCGATGACCGCGGCAGCAGAGATCGCGTTGGCTTCAGCCGGGAGTTTCTTGGAACGCGCCGCGAGTTGGTGGCGGCGGCGGCGGAACGCGCAGGCGGCGGGTTTGTCCCCGCGGGGAGGCGAGGGGAGCAAGATCCGCTTCTCGCACTCAGAGGCGGAAACCGCACGGCGGTGGGCAGAAGCTGGCGCGTCCCCTCGGCGAGGGGAGGCGGAACTTCCGCCGCAAGGAGCGGACGCAGCGTGTGTGGCGCGGGGAGGTTGCGCGGAGAGCACCGGCGGAAGGATCGGCGCAAACGGCGCAAATGACGCCGCCGACTTGTCCGATGAGTAAGAGCCCAACGACAGCTGCTGCTCTTCTCTCCAGTGCGGAGGATAGAGATCGCGCAGCTCCAGTGAATGGCGCGCGGTGGTTCGCGATGTGGTGGTAAGTTGTTGAGGGGAAAAACGCTGGGGACGGCACACCATTGCCTGATGGGACATGGTTACCTAGTCGGTCGTATTGCTGCGCTCAATACGCGGCGAGAGCAGAGGAGGCTGGTGGCTGGGTGAAAATGCAGCGCGGTGGCGAGAAGTAGGTAGGAAAAACTACTAGTTGTGCTTCTAGTAGAAGAAATGAGACGGATTGATGGGACGCAGCGGAATCCAGCTGCATTATAAAGTAATGACGGTGAAAGGAGTCACTGCGAGGCTCCGAGTTGGGGGTTCCCTCTCTCTAGTGTTCCCCCCCTTCGCTCCCGCTGATCTGTCCTCTGCGCAATGATGCGCGCGATGTTCGCCACGCCATTCGAGTGGTGACCAATGAGAGCGATGGCATGTGAACGCAGCGATAGTCGACCAGAAGGGACGGACGAGACGAGAGATATGCCGCCATATCGGAAGACTTCGCGCCGGAACATAGCTGTCTTACTCGCTCGCTGGATACGATAAGAAATCTAGATGTTGCAAGTGGAAGACGAGAAATGCTTCCGCGAGAATCACCGCCTTCCACGTCGGATCTATTGTACTATGGTGAGTTTTTGCGATTCTGAGCATTTAGCACGTGATGGATCTAGTGGAGAATCTAGTGACGAGATTGTACGACTGGAAGCTGAGCAAGCACCGCCTTTCACGACGGGAACGTAAAATTTATGGCGGTCATACACGTGAAGAGTAGGATCTTGGGGAAATGGCAGCCATGAAATGGAGCTTGAGGCACGTGAAGGGGATCAAGAGCCAGATTTTGTTAGTTCACGGGGAGGGTTCCCACGCAAGGTTAGGGCGCGTCACCTCGGACGTTCGAATGGGCTTGTTCGAACGTGCACCGTACTAAACCAAACTGACTGGTTTTCAAAACGTGCGGTACCAAACTCAACCCCCAGATTTCGGAAATTCGAACTGCTGGTTACCACCAGAGGTGACGCGCCCTTAGAGGCCGAACAAATCTGCGTTGTGAACTGAAACCGCAATAGAACGTACTCCACACGTGAGATTGCACTTCTTACCACGCTACGCTACGCTCCCACCCTAGGTCGAAATATCCAAGGGGTGCCGTGGGGAAAGGACAAGTTGTAGGGGTTGATTGGGGTTATCAGGGCTACCGGCGGTGTAAAGTTTTGATTTTTGGGTTGCGTAGCAACCCTATATATTTGGTAGCACTTTTAGGTCGACTCAAATGAACAGTGCAGTTTTTGTCATTTTCACAACGTGCAGTTTTTGAACGTTTTGATAGCACTGATACACATGAGTTACCATACCAAAAAAGTGAAACCAAATGTGACCTATCATTCCATAATCGTCGATAAATACGGCGAATGGAACAATTGGTCGTCATCAAACACAATGGACGAGAAAAACACCCACTAAACATGAATGCAAAGCATATGCGTCCATTCAACACGAGCAAAAACAGCACACAACTACTGCAAGTGAATGCTAAAATGCATCGGTGCTACAACAGAGATGGTTCCGGTATGCTAAGGCGAGCAACGCTGCCCCAACAACGATCCCCACCTCAAATGCAGACCCGACACAGTTTAACATCACACCTCAGTTGCATGACACGTGCAAAAACAACACATAGCAATGGCGAGTGTATACTAAAATGCATCGGTGCTACAACAGAGATGGTTCCGGTATGCTAAGGCGAGCAAAGCTGCCCCAACAACGATCTCCACCTCAAATATAGACCCGACACACTTTAGCATCACACGTCAGTTGCATACACGAAACAGACAGGTGCAAATAGACAAAACGCACATATCATACTCACAGGCTCACACGCGCACGTACACACACGCATAGGCACACGCACACGCTGACACACATGCAAACAACCACATATAGATACAGAGACCGCAATAAACACACAACCGTCATGAATAAAAATCAGAAATGCATAAATAACTGCTAGCCTATCCCACCTTACCCTCCTTACAACCCTCCCTCCCTCCTTCCCTCATCTCCATCCCACTCCCTCCCTCATCTCCCTTCTCAGCTCACGTGCCCTGCACAAAGCAAAAACAGAGAAGTCAACACACACACGCCCTGCACAAAGCAAAAACAGAGAAGTCAACACAAACACGCACTGCACAAAGCAAAAACAGAGAAGTCAACACAAACACGCCCTGCACAAAGCAAAAACAGAGAAGTCAACACACACACGCACTGCACACAAAGCAAAAACAGAGAAGTTAACACAAACACGCCCTGCACAAAGCGAAAACAGAGAAGTCAACACAAACACGCCCTGCAGAAAGCAAAAACAGAGAAGCCAACACAAACACGCACTGCACAAAGCAAAAACAGAGAAGTCAACACAAACACGCCCTGCACAAAGCAAAAACAGAGAAGTCAACACAAACACGCCCTGCACAAAGCAAAAACAGAGAAGTCAACACAAACACGCCCTGCACAAAGCAAAAACAGAGAAGTCAACACAAACATGCCCTGCACAAAGCAAAAACAGAGAAGTCAACACGCACACGCCCTGCACAAGAAAGCCAAAACAGAGAAAGCAACAGCACGCCTTGCCCAAAAAACAGTGCATGATCACACACTGTACAAGAAAGCAAAAGGCCAAAGGCCATAACGCTAGCGCTTCAGGCGAAGCACATTAGGTGCCATGCCAGTGCCCAAGCGTTAGAGCGCGCTGCGCGAGCGTGCTTGGCACTAGCTCGCTAGTTGCCAGCGGCCTAGACGAGCATCTGAGGCGTCGACACCTTAGAAGCCGGCACTCTAAGCGCTAGTGCAAAGCACCAGCAGAATAGATGCTAGTGCCTACGCCCCAGCATGCTCATTCGCTCTTTCACGAGCTCTCTCACGCGCTCTTTCACGCGCTCTCTCACGCGCACGCTCAGGCACACTCTCACGCGCTCTCTCTCGCGCAATCTCACGCGCATTCACTCTCTCACGTGCTTTTCCACTCGCTTACTCACGCGCTCTCTCACCCACACTCTCACGCGCACTCTCACGCTCTCACACGCGCTCCCTCACGCGGTCTCTCATGCACTCTCTCACGCGCACACTCACGTGCACCCTCACGCGCACTCTTATGCGCTCTCTCACGCGCTCTCTCACGCGCACTCTCACGCGCTCTCTCACGCGCTCTCTCACGCGCACTCTCAGGCACACTCTCAAGCGCATTCTCTCTCGCGCACTCTCACGCGCATTCTCTCTCTCACGCGCTCTCTCACGCCCTCACTCACGCGCTCTCTCACGCACACTCTCACGCGCACTTCCACGCTCTAACACGCGCTATCTCACATGCTCTCTCATACGGAACCTCACGCGCTCTCTCACGCGCTCTCTCACGCGCTCTCTCACGCGCTCTCTCACGCGCTCTCTCACGCGCTCTCTCACGCGCTCTCTCACGCGCTCTCTCACGCGCTCTCTCACGCGCTCTCTCACGTTCTCACACGCACTCTCTCACGCGCTCTCTCACGCTCTCTCTCACGTGCTCTCTCACTCGCTCTCTAATGCGCACCCTCACGCGCTCTCATGCGCTTTCTCATGCGCACCCTCACGCACTCTCTCACGCGCTCTCTCATGTGCTCTCTCACGCCCTCTCTCACGCCCTCTCTCACGCGTTCTCTCACGCGCTCTCTCCTGCGCTCTCTCCTTCGCTCTCTCCTGCGCTCTCTCCTTCTCTCTCTCCTGCGCTCTCTCCTTCGCTCTCTCCTGCGCTCTCTCCTTCGCTCTCTCCTGCGCTCTCTCCTTCGCTCTCTCCTGCGCTCTCTCCTTCGCTCTCTCCTGCGCTCTCTCCTTCGCTCTCTCCTGCGCTCTCTCCTTCGCTCTCTCCTGCGCTCTCTCCTTCGCTCTCTCCTGCGCGTTCGCTCCCGTGCACACGCTCTCCCTCGCGCTTGGTCTCTCCCCTTCGTCAGATGAAAGTGCAATGCAAGAGGAGACCAATGGACACAGGGCAAAAATTAAGGAAATTTCAGAGGGGGGAAGGAGGATGAAAGGACCGGGAACGCACCTGATAACCACGGTGCTTCAGAAAACAACCCGCGCTGGCGCACCTACCCGCGCTCCGCACACGAAACCGCGCTGGCGCACCTACCCGCGCTCCGCACACCAACCCGCGTTTGCGCTCGTGCACCTGTTGCCGGAGGCGATGGCGGGGAGGGAAGGAGAGACGACGGCGGGGAGGGAAGGAGAGACGACGGGGGGGAGGGAAGGAGAGACGACGGCGGGGAGGGAAGGAGAGACGACGGCGGGGAGGGAAGGAGAGGCGACGGCGGGGAGGGAAGGAGAGACGACGGCGGGGAGGGAAGGAGAGGCGACGGCGGGGAGGGAAGGAGAGACGACGGCGGGGAGGGAAGGAGAGGCGACGGTGGGGAGGGAAGGAGAGGCGACGGTGGGGAGGGAAGGAGAGGCGACGGTGGGGAGGAGGGAGAGGCGACGGCGTGGAGGAGCGAGAGGCGACGGCGGAGAGGAGGGGAGGGAGAGGCGACGGCGGGGAGGAGGGAGAGGCGACGGCGGAGAGGAGGGAGGGGCGACGGCGGGGGTAGGGAGAGGCGGCGGCGTGGAGGAGCGAGAGGCGACGGCGGAGAGGAGGGGAGGGAGAGGCGACGGCGGGGAGGAGGGAGAGGCGACGGCGGAGAGGAGGGAGGGGCGACGGCGGGGGGGAGGGAGAGGCGGCGGCGGAGAGGAGGGAGGGGAGACGGCGGGGGGAGGGAGAGGCGTCGGTGGGGAGGAGTGAGAGGCGACGGCGGAGAGGAGGGAGGGGCGACAGCGGGGAGGAGGGAGAGGCGACGGCGTGGAGGAGCGAGAGGCGACGGCGGAGAGGAGGGAGGGGCGACGGCGGGGGGAGGGAGAGGCGGAGGCGGAGAGGAGGGAGGGGCGACGGCGGGGGGAGGGAGAGGCGGCGGCGGGATAGGAGGGAGCAGCGACGGCGGCTAGGAGGGAGCGAGGCGCGATGGCGGGGTGGGAGGGAGCGCGACGGCGGGGTGAGAGGGATAGCTAGCCGGTAGGTAAGGTGCAACTGCAGGATTGGGTGGGAATGGGCGGATTTGGAGGGAGAAGGAAGAAGCACGAACCAAGAACCAAGAAACAAGAACGAAGAAGAGACGAGAGCCGAATTCGAGCAGACAGGTGTGAAACGAAAAAAAGTACACTGACTCTCATTACAAGAGTCAAAAATGTTTTGAGCAGATTTGTCTGTAACTTTGCTAAGGTGACTGTATCGTTAAGCTGTCACTATAGCTTATGATGTTCTTGAAATAATACTGTAGCCGTAGAACCACTCAAAACTCCGAGATCATTTGCAATGATTTCGTTTGTAACCTGGTAGGGCTCGCAAAAAACGAGACTGAACATAAATTCGCGTTGTTGAGAATGTACTCAATTCGAGGTATTACAGATCAAGACAGTGCCACGTGGTTCAGTGCGCTCCGAAAACCCACACGCAATTTTGCACTCGATGCTGACGAAGCAGAAACAAGCAGGCAGAAACAGGAAGAGACACACAAAGCAAATACCCACTATAGTAAATTGCAAGTGCCATACACTAAGATATATGTAAATATTGTCTATTATAAACACAAAAAACATCGAATGTCCAAATAGTACTCTCTAATCTACATATCTGATATATTTTTTAACTAGGAACTATGAATTTCATCCCATTTAACTAAATAAAACCAAGTGTAATTTGATTTACATCAGAAATTTTTAAGATTCTCCATCATAATGTTTCTTGTACGAGGATACAACTCTACGCAACCCATCCGACGTAAACGTCGAATCTTGTTATTTTGATTATATACAGAAATAATATGGAGTTGAACCAGCAACAAAAAGGCCACGCTAAAGCACACTGTTGCAGAAAAACGGGTATAATACGAGTCAGGTCTTCAACTTCCTACCAGGGCCAGAGAAGGCCTGGGTCAGAGAAGACCTGGGTAAGAGAGGAGCCGGCAGCGAAGGCAGGTTCAGAGTTGCACTGCATGTCAAGATAGTGACTAGAACAAGGAGCCATAGCTAGGAAAGCCCTAGCTAGGCAAGAGAGAATTAGGCCATCAGAAGAGGGTTTTCACTAGCAGCAATGAGGATACATATAGCAAACCCTAGATGGGTTGTACTCGCTATAGAGCACCCCACTACAGGCTAGACAATAACATTCTGACACACCCCCATAGCCAAAGTGGGGTGTAATCAGCACAATGAGCAAGCAGGTATAGAGCAGGAGTTCACAAAGGTAAGCAAAGCTAGAGCTAATCACAGCTGGCAAGTGAGGAGGATGAAGGACCGTGAGAGGAGAGAAGATGGGAGGCGTGTCAGAATCTAGCAGCAGGAATGAATGAACTAGCAGCATGCAGGAGTACAAGTAGTAAACCCTAATTGGGCTGTACCCCATATGGGCTACCCCACTACAGCCTAGACAATATGCAGCATATATGTTTGACACACCCCCAAAGGCAAAGTGGGGGAGAACAAGGGGTCAAACGACCAGTCAAGAGAAGCAAAGCAAGCTCAGGGTGGATCTCAACGTCACCACACATTCTGAGCACAAGCAAAGGGCCACAAGGCCAGTCCACATGCAGAGATATATATGCAACAATAACAGTACAGTGATGACTACCTAGCAAGAGCAGGCATGCATGTATATATATAGATCACAGTACAAGCAGAAACTACAGCAAGTGTGGAAGCGTAGGCACAAGGCCTAACAGGGTACAAAAGCGCTGATGATCACCAGACGGAAGTGCCTTGGTGAATATATCAGCAGTGTTGGCCCGAGTGGCCACGTGACGAAGACGAAGCTGGCCTCGCTGCTGCAACTCTCGAGCCAGGAAGTAACGCAGAGCAATGTGCTTCGTTCTGTGCTCCAGTCTGTGCTCCTCACACAAGGCAATGGCGGCCTTGTTGTCGACGTACAGCACTGGAGGAGAACGAGGCTGCTCTCCCAAGTCAGTGAGCAGGTAGGTGAGCCAGCGTAACTCCTGTGCAGCCATGGCTGTGGCGTAGATCTCAGCCTCACAACTGGAGCTGAGAACTGAAGACGAGCGTGTAGAACGCCACGAAACTGAACCAGAGCCAAGGCTGAAGGTGTAACCCTGTGACGACCGCTGAGTAGCCTGGTCGTCAACCCAAGAAGCGTCTGAGTGCCCAGTGAGGACAACTGGGCTCGTCCCTCCAAGCACTAGCCCCATGCCTGATGTGCTGCACAAGTAGCGCAGTACCCTCTTAGCAGCAGCCATGTGCTCAGGTCGGTGCCGACCAGGAGCCACGTAGCGAGCCAGAAGACCAAGAGGGTACGCGAGGTCAGGTCGAGTGCAAGTCATCAGGTACATGAGGCAGCCGACTAGCTCTGGGTAAGGACCACTCGGCTCTACGGACTCGTCCGAAGGTGGAGCTGAGAGCGTGTGACCTGTAGCCAGAGGAGTGGCCTGTGCTGAAGACCAGGTGAAGCCGAAGCGCTGAAGGACCTGCTGCACCATGTGTGACTGAGTCAAGGTGATGGTGCGGCGTGCTCTGTCCCGGGTGATCTGCAAGCCAAGGTAGCTGCGCAGCTCACCCAAGTCTGTGCACGTGTGTCTCTTCTGCAGCTCCGACTTCACGTGGGCGAGAGCCTCAGTGTCAGCAGTGGCAAAAACCAAGTCGTCGACGTACACGAGGATGTAGAACGGCGGCAGTGAAGTGTCGGTGCGCAGAAACAGCGACGGGTCAGCAGTAGAAGGCGCAAACCCAAGAGCCGCAAGCGTAGTCCTTAGTGTGTCGTGCCACTCACGTGGCGCCTGGCGGAGACCGTAGACCGGCCGCCGGAGGCTCCACTGGGTGCCAGGAGGGAACGACCCAGTGAAGCCCGGGGGGCGGCGCAGCCAGATCTCCTCGTGCAGGCTGCCCTGTAAGAAAGCTGTGCTGAAGTCAAGAGAGTGAAGCTCGTAGTCACGGTGAGCAGCAACATGCAGCAGCACCCGAAGAGTGGTCATCTTCGGGGTGGGGGAGAAGGTCTGGAAGAAGTCAACTCCCTCTCGCTGATTGAAGCCTCGAGCCACGTAACGCGCCTTGAAGACAGGCGGAGAACCCGGCGGCCGCTTCACCCTGAAAATCCACATGCCACTGACGATGTTCGCCCCAGGTGGGGGAACCTCGTCGACATAGGTGCCTGTGGACTTCCAAGAAGCCATCTCTGCGTCCATGGCTGCCTGCCACTGAGAGGAGTAGGGACCCTCTATCGCCTCTGCGTAAGAGCGCGGAGTCGGGATGTCTGGTGCATCCGGGTCTCCCTCAGGGGCAAGTAGCGAGGACACAAGATGAGGTAAAGCAGCAGCAAGACACTGGAGGTCCTCGTGCCTGTCCTCAAGGACGTCCGTGCTAAGAGCACACTCACCCCCGACGGACGGAGGACAGACAGACTCAGACTCAGTAACAAGACTGGCAGTGAAGTCTAGACGACAGACAGCAGCAAAGTCAACAAGCTCAGCGACAAGAGCAGACGCAGCAGCAGACTCAAACGACGGGTCAGTGACAACTGTGGCTAGTAGACGCGTGACAGTAGGGTGCTCAGCACGAAACCGGTCAGACGCAGGGTCCGGAACGTCAGGCAACGAGGACGCAGGAGGAGACGGCAGAGGAACAGGCTGCGGAGCAGAGGAAGGACGACGGACTACGAGGTGTGCGCTGGGGACAGCCGGCTGACGCGAACGAGGAACACGACGACCGGTACGACTAGGACGAACAGGCGAAACAGGACGCGACGCAGGCTCACGACGCTCAGCAGGACTACCAGTCGGCATAGTGTAAGGAGAAGGAGCAGGCAGCGGTGAGCCGGGCTGTAACGGAAGACCAGTGGACGACGGGAGAGTAAGAACCTGACGAAGAACAGAGTCAGACGGCGGCAGAGACGACGGAGACGGCGGAGCAAAGAACCGTCGTGTCGGCGCAGCTGCACCAGGACCAGCAGCTCCAGCAGCTCCAGTGCCTCCAGCAGCTCTAGTACCTCCAGCAGCTCCAGAAGCTCCAGTCCCAGAGCCGACACCTCCAGCCCCAGGGTCTCCAACCTCTGTGTCTCCAGCAGCGGCACCCCCAGAACCAGCACCTCCAGTCCCAGGGTCTCCAGCCTCAGTGTCTCCAGTAGCAGCACCCCCAGAACCAGCACCTCCAGTCCCAGGGTCTCCACCCTCTGTGTCTCCAGCAGGAGCACCCCCAGAACCAGCACCTCCAGTCCCAGGGTCTCCAGCCTCAGTGTCTCCAGTAGCAGCACCCCCAGAGCCAGCACCTCCAGTCCCAGGGTCTCCAGCCTCAGTGTCTCCAGTACGAGCACCTCCAGAACCAGCGACTCCAGCACCTCCAGTAGACAAAGGTCCAGCACCACTCCTAGCTCCAGCAGCGCGACGCTGACGACGACCGTACCAGTCCTGCAGCTGCTGTGGGGTGAGAGGCACACGTGGACGAAGGCGGCTACTCCAAGGAGACCGCGCAACAGCAGACTCAGAACCCTCAGCGCCCGCACCCCCAACGGCTCCAGAACCTCCGGTGTCAGTACCCTCAGCACCTGTACCTCCAGCGGCTCCAGAACCTCCAGCGCCAGCACCCTCAGTAGCTCCAGAACCTCCAGCGTCAGTACCGCCAAGCTCAGCACCCCCAGACCCCTCACACTCAGGCTCAGCACCACCAGGCTCCACACCCTCAAGCTCCGCACCCTCAGGCTCAGCACCCCCAGGCTCAGCACCCCCAGGCTCCGCACCCCCAGGCTCAGCACCCCTAGAAGTAGCACCCCGAGAAGGACCACCCTCAGTAGGACCTGAGTCACCAGTGACCTCAACCGGCGCAGTCAAGGGAGGAGGGTCTACCTGAGAAACACCTGAAGGAGCAGGACCAGGAGTGGGGAGGGGGTCTACCTGGGGAGCACCTGGAGCGAGGAAGAGCGGCGGGGGGGGGGAGCGGGGCAGTGCGGTAGGGGAAGAGACGGTAAAAGGGAACCGACTCGTCGAACGTGACGTCCTGAGACGCAAAGACACGGCGCGAGGTGGGATGGTAAAACTGCCAACCAGGCGCATCAGAGACAAAGCCAAGGAAGACACAGGGAACAGCGCGGGCGGAGAGCTTGTCCGCGGTGGTATCGCGGACAAAGGCATGAGCACCCCAGACCCGGAAACGCGACGCATCACCAACCTTCCCCGTCCACAGCAGTGTGGGCGAGGTCTCCGACAAGGAGACACGGGGCCAGAGGTTGAGCTGATGCGCGGCGTACCGGACCGCAAACGGCCACAGGAAATGGGGGGCAGCCGCATGGATCATGGAGGTACGAGCGACCTCCATGACTAAGCCAATGCGGCGCTCAGCAACCCCATTCTGCTGTGGAGAGGCCGGAA